CCCCCCCTGCCACTGGCTGCTGGCAAGGTGCTCCCAACAAGCATGGCCAGAGCACAGTGGCTGCTGGCCACGCCCTCAGGGACTACAGAATAGTCAAGTAACCCATAAAATTCATGATGTTACTCAACTATTCAATTAACTGATATCTAAAATCCCTAGATTTGGTGAACCATGCCTCCAATAAAAATAGAGGCCTCATGACTCAAAAGGTATAGGTGACAAATAGATGATTTAGTTTCAAAACCTTATACAATTTAAAAGTTTGCGTCATACTGAAATCTAGCATACTAAATTACCAGCTCAGGGAAAAAAAAGAGCTTAAAGCATTACTGCTTTTAAGGGAGAGATGAAACATTCATCACTCTGGTCTGAAGATTTCAGCTGGCTGTCAACAGAAAGTCTGCAGGTGCTTTGGCCCAGTATCAGAATAACATTTAAGAACATGGTTAACTTCAAATCTATTATTAGGTCCCATTAACATCAATAGGACCAAAGTATCTGCTTACACAAATATTTATCTGCTTACACAAATATTTATCTTAGTCAACAATTTAGCTAAGGATTGTATATTAATACAATATTAGTCAATAGGGTGCCTCCTAAAAGCGCTGCAAGGACCACAGGGCCAGTGAAGCAGTCTCCCACTGGCTCCGTGCCTCCCCTTGGCATTTCAAAGAGGCTGTGCTGCATGGAGCCCTGGGTCAGCTGAGGACTTCCCCACAGCCTCCAAATGACATTTCAATGAAGTACTCCCTCCTCTTTCCTCCCCTTGCTGCCTCTTTCTGATAGAAACAGTGGGAGGGAGGGGTGAGTGACTAGTTGACCAGCCTGTCCACTATCTGATAAGCATTTGTTTATTGGATAATCCACTAGTTGTTTACGTCCCTGATGTATACACCTTATTTACAGAAGTTTAAAAGAAAGCACCATGCATAAATAAGTGGTAATTTATTTCTATGTGTGTTCTGCATATGACCTAATACAGTGGTCAATACACCCAAGATCATTTTTTAAATCTCCGAACAGGCGAAGACCTACCGCTCCGCCCCTTTCTTGAAGCCCCACCCCTTTCTTGAAGCCCCGCCCTCTCTATTCTCCTCCTGTCCATCATTTGCTATCCCCAGCCCTTACTTACACACTCTGATAAACAGTTTATTTTTAAATTATGCGATGTATAAAATTAAAATCACGTGTTTATAGCTATGAAATAAATGGTCTGTTTTTTATTCATGCTATTTAAATCTAAAATGAAGCATTTATAATTATTTATTTTGTGGGGACAGAGTTCTGCGGCTGGGGACAGGGGAGAGGGAACAGAGAGCTGGGAGGGCAGAGGACAGGGTTCTGCAGCAGGGGACAGAGTGCCAGTGGGGACAGGAATAGGGACAGAGTTCTGTGGCTGGGGACAAGGGAGTGGGGACAGAGTTCAGGAAGTGGGGACAGGGGAGTGGGGACAGATTTCAGTGGCTGGGGACAGGAAAGTGGGGACAGAGTTTGGAGAGTGGGGACAGAGTTCTGTGGCTGGGGAGTGGGGTGCCAGTGGAGGCAGAGA